CCCTTTGCATGCTGATCCTCCAACTGCAAGACCTCCCTGCCCCCACCAAACACATTCTCTACATCCCAACCAGGGCAGGAAGTCTTTCTTTAAGTCGCATCACATCCGCCCTTGATGGCCATCTCCCCTCGGCCTCCACTCAGCCTTCAAGAAGGATGGCTATGAAGTCCCTCAGCATAGATGGGTTTAGCAGCGATTAGGTGGTACTTGCCTTGGGGTTCTGTGTGTCTCAGAGCTCTGAACCCCAGAAAGAAACAAACTCGATCCCGTTCGACTCTGTGTCCATGGGGTCTAGGACAGTGCTTGCCACATAGAAGGTATTTAATACAAGATAATGAGATAATCCTACACAATTGGGGCAGTGTTATTTTTTTAATAAACAAGCATATAACTTTCTTTCCTTATAAAATCATCATTAACTAGGTAGGTCTGATTGACTCTTAAGAAATTAACCCATTCTACCCAATTTTCTGATTGTGAATCCGTATCCAGTTATGATAAACCAGGCTCAAAATAACCTGCCTTTAGTGTCCTTTTGTTCAGGAGCCCCTGTGATGTAGTGGTTACAAATTGGGCTGCTAACCGCAAGGTCAGCAGTTTGAGACCACCAGCTGCTGTCTACTCCCACAAAGAGCTCTGGTCTCAGTAACTCACAGGGGCAGCTCTTCCCCGTCGCTATGAGTTGGCATCAGCTCAATGGCGGGGAGTGGTTGAATTTTGAGTGTCCTTTTGACAGATCTTTAGATGCTGAATGCAGGATTCGATGTTTACATACCTCTTTAAAAAGAGAAACAATGATTTGGACGGGAACAACCAATCCTGAAGCGTTATTAATACTACTATTCTGAAAAAAGGAACCCCTGCATGAAGCAAATGGTTAGACCACTGATTAGTAGCCCACTGGTAGGCACACTGCAGGGCAAGCCTGACACCCTGGTTCTGAAAAGTTGTAGCCTTAAAAACCTGACAGAAACCAATTCTACTTTGCACACGAGGTTGCTTTGAGTTAGAGCCCATTTGATGACAACTAAAAGCAAATATATATATATATATATCTATATATATCTTGATTCCTTGATTGTTAGTGACATTTCAACTTAAAAGTCAACATGAATTTATTATTAGATAAAATTAAGAGGCATTATAATTTCATCATTTGAGATGGCAGTAAAGTCTGCTTAAGGGAAAGTACCCATTTGCTTATATCTCACTTGAAAAAGGACAATATTGTGACAATGATTGGGATGCTTAAAAGTATAGATTCTTGTACTAGTGTGGTTGTATTAGAGCGCCAATTTTCCAAGCAAACTTCAAAGCAGAGGAGCCTCTGCTATATTTGAATCCTCTGTGTTCAGGAGAACAAAAGTGGTCTGCTTTGCATGAGTGACAAAGATTAGCTGACTTCTTGCATTAAGGAAGTTTGTCTTGTAAGGGTTGGAGTGACAAGACAATAACTAAGTGTTAATTGTGCATAACCAGCACTACAGAATCGGCAGTCCATTATGGCATATAATAAATGAAGCGGGCACAGAAATATATTAGGAGCTTTCATAATGGTACTTGAATAGTATTTTACAGCAATAAGAATGTGAACAGCTTTAGAGTCAAAATTTAGGAGTGTTTGTCTTACTTGAGTGAGCTCTACTGAGTAGATAGACTTAATTGCAAATGCAACCTTTCATTTCCATGGTGAAATAAACTTGACAGAGGATCTGTAAATAGCACGGACAACCTACAGTTACTTTGCATCATAATAGAATTTAGGTTGAGTTTCGCTCTTGAATGATGTTTTAATTTTCTGTATCAAAGATGGATAAGATAGGTAAAGCTATTTTTCCCAAAAGAAAAATGGGCAAAGGATATAAACAGGCAATTCCTTAAAAGGAAAAATAAATTCTCAACCCATCAAATAAATGCTAATTAGAAATTACAATAAGATACTTTTCATTCCTCACCGTCACAAAAAATTCTCTTTAAATACCAATTCTCAATGTTCATGAGAATGTGAGGAAATGTGTAAGCTTGCACATTACTGGTGTGACAATGTTTGGGACACATTTTCTGGTGAACATTTGGGCTATGTACATAAGTCTTCATAATGTTATCAACGTTTTGCAATTAATTATACTCTTGTGAATTAATTTGAGCACAGATTTAAGTATTTGTTTATGGAGTCTATATTACACTTATAGTTTTGATATGATGCATCTGATACTATAAGACCAATTAAGTAAACAGCACGAGATGTCATAGCCATAAAGCTGAACATATAAAACTTTAAAATATCTTATAAGAATTTTTAAGGCGAGATAAAAAGGAATTGAAAATATATTACATTAAAATGTCCAAACATTAGGATTTTATAGTCATGTGTTACGTTTCCAGAAGCTGCTTCTTTTAAAATATGCACTATATGCAATTTGTTACATATATGCATATGAATTCTCTTTGAGAATAGTGAGACATAAGGCAATTTTCTTTTTGGTTTTCTATTTTCTAAACTTTCTACTTGGAATATGTAATTGTCTATAAGCAGAAAGGCAGTAAGCATTAGTATAGCAAAAAAAAAAAAAACCCTATATTTTTAGTTGCTGTTATTAGTTTATCAATTTGACAATTAAATAAAAATATTCTAAATTTATTACTAGCATACCTTAAAAATGTATATACATTTAAAATATAAATTTCATTGGATCCCTGGCGGCATACTGGATATAAGTGGAGGGGTTGCAAACCACCTGCTGCCCCCTGGGAGAAAGACAGGGCTGGCCACTCCAAAAAGAGTCACAGTGCTAAGCCCAGGGGGCAGTGCTACCCTGCCCGATAGGTTTGCCATGAGTTGGCAACAACTCAGCGGCAGTGAGTTTGGTTTTTGGTTTATGGCTTATGTCCATGTGTGGATATCTGTGTTTTTGTATCCATACCAAAAAACAATGTGCATTTGCCAGTTTCCTTATGCATTGGGGTACAATCTGCAAGGTTAGCAGTTTGGAACCAGCAGCTGCTCAACAGAAAAAAAACCCGACGTTCTATTCCTGCAAAGAGTTACAATCTCAGAAATCCACAGGAGCAGTTCTACTTTGCCTTATAGGGTGGATAGGAGTCAGCATCAGCTTGATGCCAGTGGGTTTTTGAGCATGGAAATGCCACATTGAAATGTTAGATGATGATTTCTTATATTATTTATTAGGTAAGTTACATATTGCTCGTTATATTGAACTCCATTCTGAACACCTACATGCTAATGTGATATATATCTTGTGTGAAAATTAAATGAAGCATTATTTGATACATTTTTATAAACTAAAGCAAAATAACTAATTTTAGAGAACCAATCTCATTCCTGGTACTTAATACATATTTATTTCATTTAACTTTCAAAGTCAAGATTACAGTACTAAACTAAAAAGAGATAAAGACAGGAAACTTCCATCGAGTTGATAATGACTGTGTAGGGCCGAGTAGAACTGTCCTTTTGAATTTGTGTGGGTGTAAATCTTCACAGGGTCACAGCCTCGTTTTCCTCCTGTGGAGTGGCTGGGAGGTTGGCACTCCTGACCTCGTGGTTAGCAGCCCAGCATGGACCCCACCCAGCATGGACCCCACGATGTCACCAGAGATCTTCACGATAGGTATGAGTGTGTCTACTTTATACAGATGTGGGAACCAAGTTCAAAGAGATTAGGAAACACATTCAAGTTTAAAAGATGGTAGAATGAAAGTCGAATCCAGTTCTCCCTCTAAAATATACCATTCATTCTATGAGGAGGCTTCAAAAAATTTAAGGGGAAATTAATTCTTTTTTAATTCCATTTTTCCACAGGCTCTTTGAAGCACCTTCAAACAAGATCTCAAATAGAAGACTTCATTGAAAATAGTGCAAAATCCCAAGACTGAGAATTTGACTCAACTGATACTGACTGCAACCAAGATGCATGGATAATTATCGGGGATTGGAATGCAAAAGTTGGAAACTAAATATAAGAGCACTTGCGAACACGGCACAGGACGAGGTGTTGTTTGGGTCCGTTGTACCCAGGGTTGCTATTGGGACCGACTGGCAGCACTTAACAAATATATTCACTGATTAGCCACTCTGCGCAGGTGTTACCTCAAATGCTCTTTCTGGATTTATTTTCCTTAAAACCTAGCAAGTGTATTAATTTCTTAAGTGGCAGAATTTTAATGCTGTCTTCGTTTAAATGTTGGAGCATCATCTACATTTCCTACATGGACCAGCTTTATGGAGTTTGCAATGGAAGTAATCATTACACAGTTCAATAAGGAAAAATTGGAATGAGTCCTAATACTTTTAAGCTGAAAGAGTTCTCTGAAATGGAGTGATCTGGCTCCCTATGTTACAAATGAGACAACGAAGGTCCAGAGAGGAGAGCTGGTTGGCTTAGGGTCTCACAGGGTTAATGGCAGACTAGAATTTAGGTCTCTAGCTTCCCAGTGAGCTACCCTTTCTACTCTCCAATGCTGATGGTCATGTAATGATTAGCTATGGTTGGGCTACAGTTCCAAAGAGATTTGGGGGGAAAACACAACAAGCTTACAATTCAAGATAAGCAGTAGGGCACTGCAGCTATGACAATGAAGATGAAAATAAAATGCATGCACAAATTCCTGAATACTTGCAGCACAGACCTTTTGCTTGCTCAGAGTAGTGCAGAGTAAAGATACTTTAAAGATGCTTTGAGGGAGACAGAAAATCAATAAAGGAAAAGAGGAACAAGAAGACCAAAGTTTACAGAAGTGTTTTCATTTTTGATCAAATGGCATTATATGCTGTGTCCCTTTCTGCCAGAAGTCTAGTGGTGTGCTCCTTCTCCTCCTCCGTGGTTTCTTTCTGGCGTCAGAGGAAATGTTTGTAGAAAAGAGAAATGTGCGGATTCATTGTTTTCAACGTCGTAATATAATCTCCACATTAAATAATCAGCACAAAGAGATATCCATTTTTCTCCTTCTCCTTGATAAAGCCAATGAAATCTGTTTACCTCTGATTGCAAAGCTGACAGGCAAAGCAGTCCAGGTGGTAAACATTGTCCTTGGCACGCATCACCATCTCAAAGGCAGGGATGAGCTTACTGCAGGCGGCACAGTTTCCAGTTACACCGAAGAGCCTACAAGAAGAAACATTTTTCTTTTCAAACTCTTACAGGAACCCTGAGGTTGTGCAAAGAGAAAGCGCTAATAGACCCTGTAAAGCTATCAGTACACAAAGCCTTATGATACACAGGTGATCTGCATATCCTAGGCGTATACATACAAATTCCTCTGCAGTGCATTCTCATTTGACCCTTCTGGATGAACGTCTCATCATGTTTGGGAAGAAAAGGCAAAGGCAGACACATTCGGCAGTTTATGTAATCACACCCATACAGAAATCAACAGGGTTGAATTCATGGCAAAAATCTCCCACTTATTAAAGCATACAGTAAATGGCAAAGTGGTGTCACTCTGATCTTATTGCCACATACTAAGCACTTCTGTGAGAAAAGAAACTCACTTCATTTTTTTAACATCAAGTTACTAAAAGGTTTGCCATTATGATTAAAAGAACATTTATGAACAAGTCATTTAAACAGTCAAAAAACATTAGAGACGCCTGCACCTATGGCCCTATACCATAGTTATAGCTATGATTATGTTATTCAGGGAGCACATTAAAGTAAATGAGGCTGTAAGCTACATATAGCTAGACTAGGTATGGAAGCATAATATACTGTTAGAACCATTGGAATTGTCGGGGAAAAAAGTGTTTAAAAAAATCCTATTTGCTGTAGATTCCTGAAAACAATTTCCGTAATGATCTAAAAACTAGTATGAAATAAAATGTCTATATAGCTCCATAATGGGAGGGGAAAATATTTTATCCACTTGCACCTGTAATATTTAAGCCACGTTTATTTAAAGTTGTTAATGGTGGTGAGGAATTATTATAAATACTACTCTGTGCACAGTAGTTAATGCACTTTTTAAGTAGGAGGAAAACAGGATGAAAAGCACCACATCTGCCGGTTTTCTTTTGCTCCAGCATCAGGCTGACAGGAGAAAATATAATGGCTCTCGTGGGAAAGACCAAATTAAAAGCAGTGCTGAACTAATGAATTCAAAGGTGCTATGCAGAAAACTCATTTTCGTTATAAAAATGTAGTTTAAGAAATCATAGCCTTTCATTTTATTGAATTTAAGGATTACGCACAAACGTGAAGTTTCCCTTCTTATTACTTTTTCCACGCTCCAAAGATTAGTCTTTGCTTAAGGCATATGCATGTTCATTCTCAAGTTTAGAACTATTTCCACTCATAGGCCAACGACCGTGGTTGGAAAGAGTTTTGAGAACTATTTCTAAGTTTCTAGCAAAACCAGTGTAATAAATGCATGTGCTCAGGCTACTGTCAGCTTGTCTTTTGAAGAACATAAGCGTCATGAGGGTGGAAATTGTAACTCTATGTCATGCACTTAGCCAGCATAATCTGTGTGCTTGATACGAAGTAAGCACGTTGGAGATCCAAGAAAATTAAATTCACCACTGTTAGGCACTTATTTTCCTTAAAAGGTCCTTTTTATGATGTGTACTTTAAGGACTATACTTCCAATAACCTGTATTTTCTGTTTGCAATCCCGGTTTTGAGAAATAATATTTTGTGGAAAAGAGCATCCTTGAAAATGCAATATTTTGCCTCTCGTGCTGGCATCGTTAAGAAAAGGAGCCACTGCAAATGAGCGCTTTTATTCCACCCTTTTGTCAAAAGGTTTTAGTTCATGCCAACATCTCGTATTCCTTTCCCGGTGCGTTTTACATGGTCTATTCAGGGGTCACAACGCTTTTTTGTGTGCAGTTTGCTTCTTCTGTTCTGTAATTTTTTAAGGTAATAAGGCAATTTTTGAAGTTTTTTTTTTCTTCCATGAATATAGATTTATGTGTGGCTATAAAATATGGCTAATATGAGATAAAGCAGTTTATTTTAGGAATAACTCAGTTTGCTTATACCTAATAAACATAAACCCACAATGCCATTTTGAAATTCTGGACATAGTTTTCCCCAATTTCAATTGCTCTCGCTAGCTGAGCATTTATCAGCTACCTGATTAGAATTTGTTTCCACACAAACCATTGATCATCAGCCTATTACTAGGCAAATGACAGTTAATTACCCACTACATTAACCACTGGGACCTGAGACCTGCTTCTGCTGCCATCAGTCAACATGATAAATGTGGCAAGTTCAGTAATGCATGGCCAGCCCTGAGCTGCCTGCTATCCCGTGAACAACCCCCAATCTCACTTCCAGGCCCAGGAAAATCTATGGCAATCTGCATAATTACAAGCTCTGGGTTAATAACAGACAAATGATTTGTTACATCTAAACAAAGTCCTTGGAATGGGCCCGGTCTCTGGTGGCTGCCGTACTGTGCGCTGCCACTAGTGCACTTTCCAGTACAACGTGCACAAAACAGCTCTCTGACGCTACAGCCTTCCAATTTGTTGCCCTCCAATTTATGGATTCTGCATATGTGATTTTTAATCATTAAAGGACTCTTGAAGCAATATTATCTTAATTATTCTCTGCTGTAACCAGGGAATTAGGCTTCAGATAAAATTTTCTTCTTCCATGCACTTTCTCTGCCTCACTGGAGGCTCCATCAGTTTCCATCTACACCTGGACTCTGAAATCCTAATGATGAATTATTGCCCCTTTTCCTAAGAGGGCGAACCTTACAAGGGAACATTTTACTGAACTGTCAGCTCACAGACTGAGTGCGGAGATGCGGAAATCTGATCTAATTTACTGCAAAACGATGCATTTGTTAGACTTTTTCTCCCCCATCTGTTTTGCCCAAGGATCAAGAGATCATTGTAGAGCCACATGTTCTTTTTTTCCGCTGTGGGAAACACACAAGATTCGTCAGGGGAAAGAAGCAACGTATACTAGTCTCTACAACAAAGCTCTCAAAATACATGATGTTCTCCATTGGTTTTCAAATAAAACATTGGCTTCTCAGGCAAAAGGCACATTCAAGGGTCCCACTTAAGCTTAAGTTAGTTATAAGTTCCCTCCACCCCAGATATATCTCAGACATATGCAAGAAGAGTCTCTTATTACCTATTTGACTTAAACTACTCATAATCCTAGAAGTTCTTACAACTGCTTCCTTTTCCTCCTCACTCCGAGACTCCATACAGGGGTGTGAACATTGATCCACCCTTCTGTTTATCCCAGAGATCGCTGTAAAATCTTGTTTACAGTGCTTGTACAATCTCACCCTCTACATAAGATGAAGGCCAAAGACTTCTTGGAAGTACATGAGAAAGAAGGTTTAAACATAAAAGTCTTACGAGATTTTTGACCTAAAGCAACCATAGAACACTATCTCTAAATTTATGGTAAGGGAAACAAATAAGGTCATTGATCTACTTGGCTTATTTTAAGATAGCTTACCTATTATTAAGGTACAAAATTTTAAAAAGATAAAGCAGCAACAAGGAAAGTGCCTCATTATCCTGGAGTCTCGTCTGGCTCACAGCAACCTGGGAGGATAGAGTAGAACGGCCCTAGGCTTCCCAAGGCTGCATATCTTTACAAGTGGCAGATCTTTCTACCCCAGAGAAGCTGGTGGGTTCTGACTGCTGACGTTTAGCTAGCATCTGAGTACCTTAGACACTGTCCCACCAGGTCTCATTAAGCTAGTCCACAGGTTAATTTACCAATTTATGGGCTAGACTGTAGCCTACCATTTATACTCATAATAAGGTGTGAGCAGTAGAACTTTTATCTTGTTTCTAACACACTCCTACAACTAGACTTGCATTATAAAAGGTGACAACTATCATCATACACTATCAGCACATAGCATGATCTGCCGAAATCCCAGAGGACACTTGTGTCCCTTTTCTGCTCCACTTTTGTGTTGGCGACCGGATATTGACAATCTAAGCAAAGGCATGAAGATAAAAGTCAGATAAGTTTCAAGCAACAAATAGCCTATCTGCATGCTGTACAACACACCCCACATGTGGTGAGCATGCATAGAGAAATATTATTTCATATTTTTCATGTGCGGAAGGCATAGCAAAACTAAGACAATATTCATCTATATTGTTTAAAGATCCCCAGGAAGTTTTGTTTTTACTAAATGCCCAACAGCTTTTGCGGCATAATTCGGAGTCAGGTGACATCTGTAAGGGTTAGCAGCTGTCCGTTTCCACAGTCCCTGAGGGTGGGGGTAGAGAAAACTAAAGACATACAACCATTTCACACAGCAATAATGAACACGGTTTACTACAGGCATTGGGGGGTAAAAATGAGTGTTCATTGTATTAGTGTCTTTTATTTTACAGCACCAGATGCTTCTATAGATTTTTTACCAGGTCAGTGACTTAGACACTAAATCAAATTCTCCCCAGCCAATGGAAAGCATAATATTTGACTCAAATTAATTTATTATTTGAGGGAAAATAGATAAGTAAATACTCCTGCAGTAAACCTTAAACCTCCATTCTGACCAAGATCAACTTTTCTAGTATTGAGGCAGTTCTCATTTAGTGACTTTAGTACCTATGAATTTAACAGTTAATGTTTTAAAAAAGAGATGGAGGATGACTGAGTTAATTATCCTCCTATGTAATATAAACAAACCAAGCTTAAAAAAAAATTCCTCTCTCTAGAATAACTGTAGATGCAAAGAGAAAGGCAAGTTTGGTTTTTAAAGGACCTGAAATTTTAATCAATTGAAAAGAGCTTTAACTTTTGACTGCTTGATGGTGAAGTTTTATTGAATATGTTATGGGAAGGAACAGAACATTTTCACAGATTGAGAAGGGCAATTGCTTTTCTGTCCATTACAAATATACTTCTCGTCTCCTCTCCCTTTACACATTTTAAACCAAAGAACAAAGTGATAGAAAATAAAAACACTTTCAACATTCTATTCTTTTGTTTTGAACTTAAAAAGCTCACCCACTACAAAGCTGAAGAAAATTTAACCTACTGAGTTCGCTCCTCTGGGGTCTTAGTATTTACTTCACTGTCAGAGAGAGAAAGATATGGGGAGAGTTAAAAGGAAAATAAAAAAGCGTAACCTTATTTTGAACTGTTGCATAATTAGGTTTACCATA